GATGTGATCCGTACTTGATCGACATCATTCAAATGTATTAAGGGGAGGCTAACTGTTTGCTGGGAAAAAGAGAAGAAATGAAGTAAGGGAAGCGGTTGCACAGGCTTATCCTGAACAAATTGGTTTGGTCAGCATAGGCAAATTTCAACAGCTTTTGTTGAATGGAAAGAAAGAATTCACAAATTGAAATTGGGAGATGGTTGAATGCAATGAATATCTGAAAACGTCTTTCAAATATCATTACCGTATTCATGATGTTGAAACCTTATTTTAATGAATGAAGTTTTAAACAATCTAATTGTTTAACAAGTAACAAATTTATATCTGCTTCGAAGTGAAGAGATGACCATACAATTGAGTATGGAGAAAGATATCACTCAGGAATGCTGTAAACAGATAACAGTGTAACAATGATAAGTAAGGCTGACAGCGTATGGTTGATATAACATGAGCTATACCGCCAAAATCAAATAGAATGATGTGTAAAGAAAGACTCATCTTGTGTTATTTTAATAGAGAAAGAGACACATGCTTTCTCAAACCATTTAGGGCAAATGTTTAAATGTTTGCAGGTTAAGTGGCTGCACTACTTTCTCCTGAAAATAATCGTTTGGCTGTCATTGGTAATTCTAGGAGGCTTTCCTTGTAGACAACTTACCTCTCATTCCTTTCTATTTTCGTATAAATGGAAATGGCCAAACAAGTTTGCTTAATCAGACTGTCCGACAAATTTGCGTTTCTATATAGAAAAATCCCCATTTAGACATTTAGAAATCAGAAAGATCGAGAGAAGAAACATTGACATCGAGATTTCTGTGTCCACCTTGAAGGAACTTATTTTAAGATGTACAATGAATGTTCATTTCTTATTCAATAAGGAATATTACAGACAAATTGATGGTGTAGCTATGGGTTCCCCATTAGCTCCAATCCTAGCTGATTTTTTTTTCGCTAAATTAGAGAATGGACCAATGAAAGGAGTAATTAATGACATGGGTTTCCTATTGTCGATATATGGATGATACATTTGTGGTTATGAAAGACGAGAATGATGCAATGTACATCCTTGACAAGTTTAATGATGCACAGATGTTTATGATCTCTTTCTCACGTTAGGTGGCATAATAAGGTAAGTAATGTTGACGTTAGGCGTAGTGTTGGGCAAAGAAGGAAAATCAATCGAAGAGGCTATAAAGTTACATAGAGTGAGATGGCTAGGTCACGTGCTGCGCATGCCTAACCGTCGCCTCCCTCGAAGGGTACTACTAGCTGATATAGGTGGTGCAGGTTGGAAAAGAGTAAGTGGTGCCATGCCAAACAAAAACATGGCCTCATCAATCCATGAAATCCTTGACAGTTAAACTGAGTCAGGTAGTGAGGGAGATGCAGACTTCCGGGTTGGGGCCCGCTCTCGGGACTCTAAGAATCAATGGCTGGAGACAATAGGGGACATGGCTCAAAATCGTTCGTTGTCAATGGCTTACGCAGATGTATTCAGTCTCATATTCCTTTCTACCATTACTCATTCTGTTTCACTCTTATACTTGTCAAAACTCTATTGATTCTCTTCACTGATTTTCTTGTCTACCTTTGTGTGCTATTTGGAACGTGGCAACTCGAACTGCTGCACTTCTGTGGCAAGTTCTATATTGAATCCAGCCAGCCACTGTTTAATTATTGTTGACAAACATATCGCCACTTGTTTGGTAAACTGTTGTTTATTGTAATAAAAATGCTATATATAGTAGAGTAGAGCCAGAGAAGAGGATCTAATTGAAAGCTAAATATTTCTTCGCTCAATCTTTCTGTTTTCTAAATTTGTGTTTCACATGCATCACATTTCTATATATAATGTGTGCTTTATTAGCATAGTTACTGATTTTATGTTTTGATGCAATGACGTGGATTTTCTTCATTCCTTTAGTGTCAATCTTATACATGTGCAAGAAATATATTGTTCCCCACCTAGAACTGTAGCTTCTAAACATTTCAACTAAGAATAAATGCATGTATAAATCGTGTTGTTCAGTACTCGATTGAATAGATGAAAACTCAAACAATCTAATTGTTCAACAAGGGAAAAAATGCATAGCTGCCCAGAGGTGAAGAAACAACTATACAGTCGAGTGTAAAAGAAAATCTTACCTGGTTGTGCTGTTTGCAAATAACAGTAAGAAACGCGATTAGTAAGACTGACGTCGTATTCTTGAGATTACATGAATTTTATTATAAAAAATTCAAATACAGAGAAGTGTAAAAACATAGCATAATAAATATCTTAGAGAGGGATGTTTCCCCATAACAGTCAACGTGACTACTGGGAACTCTGATAACCAGTACTTCGACCTATTTCGAACTGATCTTAATCAGCCTCATATTTCGCATCTCTGGTTACTTGACGCATGGTGCGTGTGTGTGTGCCTGATAAGTGGGAATAAGGAGGAATCAGTGATCGAATTATCAAGACCACTTGAATGAAAACGCAAATTCAGGTAATGCAGGCAAATGAATGAATGAGAAGTTTCAAATAATTGTGGCAGTTGAGATTTTCCACTACCTAACATCAAGTATCCAGCTGCCTTGAAGTGAATAGGGAGGCATACTATTGAATATGGAGTAAAATCTTACCTAGGTATGCTGTAAAAACCAAATAACAGTGAAAACAACCATAAGTGAGATTGATGTCGTGTGCTCAATTCAGAATGAATTTGATTCCTAAACTGAATAGAAAGAAGTGTGAACGAGGGTCAGTTTTGATCTATTATCTTGTGAAGGAGACAGATGCTTCCTGAAACTAGGTGAGGCAACTGGTTAGTTGTGTGCAGTAATATAAATTTATCCAGCGTAGTGTAAATCACTGGACGACTTCATCCTGGGCATCCTGGTTTGGCTATCATGTGTAAATCTCAATAGATCCTGAAATAGGTGAAATACTTTACTCTTTCCCATTTATGTCAGTAAAATGTCTGAGCATTGTGGAATGGATCAAATAAAGTATAATTCCAGTATAATTCCAGTGAATCATCAATCAATAGACACATCGAGATAGACAAAATTTATCAACCGATAAGAAAGAAACGTCACACACAAAGGGTCAAAGTTCAAGCCAAAGAAACAATGAGTGACAATACAAGTAACCTAGAAGGTGTGAAAACAGACAAAAACAACCAATCACGTCCAAGGTCGCCAGGAGAGATGATTAATAAACTCGTGGAGAAATCTAAAAGCTCACTTCAAATTGAAGTATGCGCTGAAGATGTCACCCAGTAGGGTGATGAAAGCTTCGCAAATTAACTATCCAGCTCAGAGAACACAACAACATCAAAAAAGAAAAGAGACCTAAGTCAATGCAAGAACTGGCGCGGAATTATGCTCCTGTCCATCCCAAGCAAAATACTAAGCCACATCATCCTGGAGAGAATCAAACATTCCCTGGATGAAAAACTTCGACCGGAACAGGCTGGATTCAAGAGAAACAAGTCATGCATTGATCAGATCGCCACATTAGGGATCATCATTGAACAAAGCCTGGAATGGCAGTCACCTCTCTATCTCAACTTCATCGACTTTGAAAAGGCCTTCAGCAGACGGCGTCCATCGAGAGGTGATTTGAAAACTACTTCGCTACTACGGGGTGCCACCGACAATTATAAATCTCATTCTAACAGCTGTACGACAATGCTGCATGCCAAGTAATCCACAAGGGGAAACTTACGGAATCCTTCGAAGTGAGGACAGGAGTAAGACAAGCTGGCTGCCTACTATCACCAATGATTTTCCTGATTGCACTAGATTGGATAATGCGACAAACAGCGGGTATTGAGGAGACCGACATAAAATGGACTCACACAAAAACTTGGAGGATCTGGACTTCACTGATGATATATGTCTGATTTCCCACAAACTGGAAGATATGCAAGCGAAAACCAACAAGTTGGCAGAAGAAGCATCCAGAGAAGATAGGAGTTTGGGTGAACATAGAGAAAACAGAGGTAATGAAGATTCATGGATAAGAACAACAACAACAGACAACGATCAGCATAAATGGGAGGAACCTGAAAGAAACAACCTCTTTCACTTACCTCGGAAGCATCGTTTCAACTACAGGCGAACGGAACTGACAAGAATATCAAAGCGTGAATCACAAAAGCAAGACAAGCTTTCACTACTCTCAAGTCTGTGTGGAGGTCAACAGCCAGCACTCAGCATTAAAAATAAGATCCGGATTTTCAACTCCAATGTGAAGTCAGTCAGTGCTACTCACTGTACGGATCAGAGACTTGCACTGCGCCTCATAAAGAGCATCTCAAACAAACTACAGACCTTCATTAACGGCTAGCTGACTTCGCTCAATACTACTCAAGATCAGATTGTCGGCCAGAAAAGATCAGTAACAGAGAGGGATCTCTGGCAATGAACGAACCAACACAGCAGGAACCAACCGATTGTGAAACAAATAGGCATGCAGGAAGAAATGGAGATGGATTGGCTGGCCATACTCTGAGGAAACAAACCATCAAGTGAGTGGCATCACTAGACAAGGCATTGCTCGAGTGGAACACGGCCGAAAGGGAACCGGCGGCGATTTGGTCGTCAGTGCAAGGGTGGGGTGACTTGGAGGAGGTCATGTGAAGAGGAGATGAAAGCGTGTGGGCGGACGTGGAGCCAGGTGAAGACTGTAGCAGAGAACCGAACGCAATGGAGACACACGGCTGAAGCCCTATGCTCCTCTAGGAATTAAAGGAAACAAAAATAATGATAATACACAGTCGTAACATTTTGAAAATATGTTATCCCTACTCAAAAACGCTATCCAAATTTAACTAAAGCGAGTATTTGGTTTTACGTTTCGTTATATAGAATCACATCTCCTATATTTCCACTAAGTATAAGTATGTGAATGAATCATAACTTATATCCTATAACCTTCATCTGGAAATTAAATGTGATCCAACTTTAAAGTTTAGAAAAAAGCATATGATTGAGTATGGAGGATAATCTTACCGAGGGTGTTTGATTTCTTCTTTTTTCGTATGGCTGTAATCTGGCTCAAAATCTTTGAATTTGATCAAATTCGTCCTTTGAAATTCACCAGAATCTAAAAAATCTATTCGATACAATTTCTGTTCTCCTTTATCAGCTCCTTCTAAGCAAACTATCCGACCTCCTCGAGTGAGTTGCATTTGTAACTGAGTTATGTAGGAAAAAATGGACCACATGATAAATCGGGGTAACTATTTGATTATTATTATTATCAAAAGGACTCGAGTGAAACTGTGTGACATGAATTCAATACATGTTGGAGACTTGACCCACCCTCATATTCACATGGACTCGTTGGTTTCATAAGTGACATAAGTCTGTTTTAGATGTGCATGGTGGCAATTAAACTCCACCTCTGTCTTCACTAATGGTCATTTCACTGAAACCATTCAATTTCTATGCAAAATCATGGATGATAATTATGTATGAGTTTAGCCATTTAATACTTACAAGAACTGCTTCCGAGATGTGCTTTTAATGTCTACTTTAAGTTGAGTGACTGTGTACACATAAAAAGGCAAATTGACAGTAATGTTATCACTGGGCTTCCTACTTTCAGATTGCTTTATGGCAAGTCGAGGAGATAACGTGTTGTGATACACTATTGGGAGATTTTGTATAAAAAAAGATCCATAGATACATTCATCATATAGGATTTAGGTGTTGACATCATGACCTTGATGAACGAGTTCAGCAACTCCGATCGCTCAGTGAAGTTAACATCCGAAACACAGATAAGCTCAGAATTTCAAATTTCAGGTGATGTATTGATAAGATGATCTGATGATTCTCTTCACACGTCAGTCTGCAGGAAGCCACAATGAAATTACAAGTGCATACATTTTCACGACTGAACAATCTTGAGGAGAACACCAAAACAAGACAGATTCCCTGTCTTCAGGAGTGAGAACAATCTCCAGTAGTGATATAATGGACAGTTAAATGGAAAGAGTATGTCTAATCCCTAAATTAACTGGATAGCTTATAAAATGTGTCGATGAACACAAGAGAGTAAAGTGACGGTCTGAAGGAATTCACATAGCTCGAAAGAAACTGGAACTTATGAACTGGAAACTGAGACTGGAACTTATCCAAAAGAATGGATATCCACGGAATTTCATCAAGAGACATGTACCCCCAGGCCAACCTATCAAACCAAAAGCCCCCAAGGAAAGCACAAAGAAAATTGCCTTACCATATATAAAGGATATATCAGAAATCACTGCAAGACTCTTCAAACCTTTAGGAATTGACGTCGCACAGAAACCAACAAAGTAATTTCACTCAATTCTATGTCAACCAAAATACTCAACAGCGAAGGAAGATAAAACCAACATCATCTACAAAATAGATTGTATCAACTGCGAAAAACACTACATTAGCCAAAGTGGACGTCCCCTTCGTCTTCGTATCCACGAACATAAGCTAGCCGTCAAAAGACATGACATCCACTCCCTCATATCACTACATACAGACAACCACGGACATCAATTCGACTGGGACAACGTTCAAATATTAGGCAGAGGAAACAACGAGAATACTAGAGAATTTTTAGAAGCTTGGCATTCCAGCGAATCATCAATCAATAGACACATTGAGATAGACAAAATATATCAACCGATAAGAAACATCACACACAAAGGGTGAAAGTTCAAGTCAAAGAAACAATGAATTAAAATACAAATAAACTAGAAGGTGTGAAGACACACAAAAACAACCAGTCACATCCAAAGTCACCGGGAGAGATGACTAATAAACTCGTGGAGAAATCTGAAAGCTCACTTCAAATTTGAAGTGTGCGCTGAAGATGTCGCCTAGTAGGGCGATGAAAGCTTCACAAATTAACTATCCAGCTCAGAGAACACAACCATATCAAAAACTTATGAATATAGAATTTGGAGGTGGTAATGCGGCTGAGATTTGTGAGGCAGTTGTATTGGCAGCACAAAACCAGCAGGTTCCTAACGCGCCTCAGAACACTATTCGGAGTGGTCACTGACTGCATAGTAACCCATCCTTGAGCAAACGGTAGACTGAGATCGCGTAGCTCCATTCCAGTCCTCTTGAAAATTATCTACAAAATAAGGCAGAACTGCAGAAAGGAGGGTCAGCTCTCCACGTTATTCTGTGACGTGAGATTATCGATTTGTCAACTCACTCCCTAACTTTGTGTAGACAGAACGTATGTTCAGTCTACTATTTTCTTGTTTGTTTGCCTTCACTTTTTAAATTTTTTTCACCATTATAACTCTATGCACGTTCGTTTTGTACATTTGGTCGTCAGACTTTTGTTTTCATCTTTATCTACTTACCAATCCCATCCAAAAATGAGTTTCAGGACTTCAACTTGATAATAATTTAATTTTTTCTTATTTGCAGAAACCACATCTGAGTAACTGAATCAGTCTCTGTACCCGTATTGCCAAAAATTAAACTACAACACGTAATGGTATCTATTTAATGCAAATTACGGACATAACTGTTGCAGTAAAGTTTACACTATTATTATTTATTTTTTTCCATTGAATTCTCGGTGAAACATACGGCTTCATGTTTGAACTTTGAAGTCTTGATGGCATTGGTGTTTATTTTTACGGGATGGGTTGCTAGCCCCGCATCCAATCTTCTGTGTTTGCCTGGCTTACGCAACCTGCTGAGCAGCGGCGGGGAATCAAACCCTCATGTGAAAAATAAAGTTCTTAAAGTAATCATGAACTGCTTATTTGAAAGCTGTGGATTGAGATTTCATAGTTGATGGTGTTTAAAATATTTCTACAAGCTTGATAAAATCAATTTCCCCTATCATTAGAACCTGTGAGATTCAGTCGCAAGTTCAAGAAACTCAGAGTACAGCTGCTGAAGCTTGGACACGCATCCCGTAGAACTGAATTATTTTTATCAGCGAGTTTTACAGACTTCCATTCATTAACGTATCTTCAAATTTTGTTGATGAGTTATCTGATTCGTCTACGACACTGTAATATTATGCAAATGATTTCCAGCAGGGTCGTGAAATTCTTGCTTGGTAAATATATTCCGGTAACTGTTTGGTGTGGCTTGACTAGTTTTCATCGAACTGTAAAAAGAAGTATACCCTCGTATGTTCCATTAATAAAGTTACTATGAATTTATTATTATTATTGTATCCTTTAATTCCTAGAGGGAAATAGGGCTTCAGCCGTACGTCTCCATTGCGTTCGGTTCTCTGCTAGAGTCTTCACCTCGCTCCATGTCTGCCTACACACTTTCATCTCCTCTTCACATGACCTCCACCAAGTCACCCTCACCCTTGCACTGACGATCAACTCGCCACTTCCCTTTCGGCTGGGTTCCACTCGAGCAATGACTTGTCTAATGATGTCACTTGATGGCTTGTTTCCTCAGAGTATGGCCAGCTAATCCATCTCCATTTCTTCCTGCCTATTTATTTCACAATCGGTTCCTGCTGTGTTGGTTCGCTCATTGCCAGAGATCCCTCTCTGTTGCTGATCTTTTCTGGCCAGCCATCTGATCTTGAGTATTGAGCGAAGACAGCTAGCTGTGAATGGAGGTCTGTAGTTTGTTTGAGATGCTCTTTATGACGCGCAGTGCAAGTCTCTGATCCGTATTGTGAGTAGCACTGACTGACTTCACATTGGAGTTGAAAATCCGGATCTTATCTTCGTTTTGATGCTGAGTGCTGACTGTTGACCTCCACACAGACTTGAGAGTAGTGAAAGCTTGTCTTGCTTTTCCGATTCTTGCTTTGATATCCTCGTCAGTTCCGTCTGCCTGTAGTTGAGACGATGCTTCCCATGTCGGTGGGTAGGTAAAAGAGGTTGTTTCTTTCAGGTTCCTCTCATTTATGCTGATCTTTGTCTGTTGTTGTTGTTCTTGTCCAGGAATCTTCATTACCTCTGTTTTCTCTATGTTCACCTGAAGTGTTATCCTATCTTTGCTGCTTCTTCTGCCAACTATGAATTAGTGAGACATGAAATGCAAAATAGATAAGTGAATAAAGTGAGGACTTACACTTTCGGCAAGACTACTTTTCCTGATCGCAGATAATAGGAAATTTATTGATCTAATAATATTGATATAATACTATTGTACGTGTACCAACGAGATGAGATATGTATATATTATGCTAAGGGACATCTGTATTCGGTGAATTAGATCACTTTAACATTCTTGTTAATTCATCTATCAGTAACATAAAATTTTTCTTACAACATCAGTTCTCTTCAGAACTTAATTAAAAATACAGACTGGTGGTTAAAAGTAATTAAGTATGCGTGTATGAAAATGTATACGGACTCACCTTGTACACATCACTTCCATAAGTTGAACGAAGATAAATAGCATCAAATCTTGTATTGGGTAACATTTTGTTTAGCTCGTCATCGGTTATAAGTTGAATTTGCCTCCCCATCTCCAAGCGATATGTATTATCTGTTTTGTTATCTTTTAGCCAGTTTTCGATATTCGTTCTAGCACGTGTATATAATTCATTGTTAGGTAGAGAGGATATGGTGACACCATTTTCTCCTGTCTTTAAGAGATGAAAGAGTGTGTAGAACTATAGACCTGCCTATCCGATATTTATTAACCAGATTAACATCATTCTAATGGTCAGTTCTATAAGAAGCTTTGTTTATGTACTAATATATGCAAATAAACCTGTATACGTTTCTAGTTGAATGGTTATAAATCATACACTCCAGATATGTATGCGACTCAGAACTACAGTTCCTTGAGCACTCTTATCTTCTGTGTTTTCAGTATAGCGTATATGGAACAGTTAGAATCGATATCCTTCTGACTATGAAGAATAATGTTGTTAGATAAATTGTGAAGTGTCATCAGCGTAGAAGAGTTAGGTGTTGATCAAATACATTCATCGGTAGAAAAGACTAATTGGTCATTTCGAAAGTATTTCTTTATGACAGGTGAAATAAAAATCTACTCCAAAATCAGCTGAGTACACAGTTCTTAACTGAGATGTACTTTATCGTTTGTGGCTTCAGGTATCTAAACGTCATTGTATCTGTTGCATTTAATGAGCTTGCAATAACTACCACGTAAATGATACACAGATAAGAGAGTAATTATTTATTTTGAAATAAAGATTGACAGTTTGTACAGAACAGGGAAGTTTTGCAGCAGTAAATGGTTTCAAGTGAATTATTATCAAACACTGTGTTACAGTTTTCATGATGACTTCACCTCTGAAATCATGCCACAGGAAGACATTTACATTTACATTTACCAACAGTACTTTCCTTGTCTTCCAAAACGGTCGGATGAAATGAATCCTTCATGTATCTTACAGATAAGCTCCATTGAACAACAAATATAGCATATCTTACTGAATTAAGTGATAATATAGAGGATGGCGATACAAAAAATTATATTATTAGATAGTCCCATGTTCTGATAAACATTTTTTCAAATCTATGAGTATAAGGAAGGAAGTGAATAAAGATTTATATTATTTAGTCAACAATGCGAGTTTGTAGTGAGTGATAGGTGGTAACCAATTGCGAATGTTTTGATGTCACAGACCAGATCTTGATTACTAGTTTGAATATCAGCCAAATAATAGTCTTCCTTAGATGAGTGAAGCATTTCTAAGCATCTATAGCTAAATAGTTAAGCACAATCTATTCATAAAACCATTAGCAGTAAGAACATCAGTTAGCTAAATTTTTTGTATACTCTTTCTGAAATCTAACCCCCCTCAAGGAGTCTAAATGAGAACAGAAGTGGATTATGGTGTTAAGAAGGCTAAAGTTGGGATAGTATTGAGGGTCTATAACAATCTTCCAAAGTGAAACCACAATAAACTAAGATTTAAAAAAAACTGTCATATTTCATTGCAGCATACTTACCATAAGCGCTACACATGCTGTCATGTATCCAGTGCCTTGTTCAATAACTAAAACGCCTGATTTAGCTCTGATGGTGACACGCAGTGCAGCCAGAATAGTTGCATGCTGAATTGGGGAAGATTAAATCACAATTATTCAGCACACTTATCAAAATATCTAAACAAAGACAAATTTGTGCTCCATGACAACCCAAAACAGTAAGTAAAAGAACCATTACATCTCCAGTTCGTTCGTCATTATTTACAAAATCAGATTAAGCAGAAAGCAGAGAGTTAACTTAACACCAGGCATGACTTATGTAAAATCAGTAAAAGACTGAGAAAACTCACTTTCTTATGGACATGTAGTCAGTGTTGGCTATTTAACACTGTATATGTTTGTATATTCTAGCAGCTAAATCAATCACATCTGGGTCTTCATGATCACTGTGTCAGCACTAAAATTCATGTAGAATTTCAGTTCATCCACGTTGTTCAGTGCTGAATGGATAGTTGGACCATCCTCTCCGTATTTAGTCAAACAGATATTACCTTATTGTTAATTCTCACTGACATTACATTTCAAATTTACAGCGACACCCAGATTATAGATTACGTATCCAGAATGACCGACAATGTGGTCCAAGGGAACGTGAACGCTTAAGATATGCATTCCACTATCTTCAGGATTTACTTAACAATACCTGGTTCACTGATATGAGTCCGCCGAGTTTCTCCCAAATAGTGCATAACTATACACGGTAGAGTTTATATCATTTCTACAGCGTCATTATATAATAAGTAGATAAAACACTGAATGACAAAGGCTGTCCAATTGACAGTTGTGAAGTCAAAACTTGAACTCACTTACATATTCTACGAATCGCGAAATTCATCACCTTGAATTTAGAAAATTCGTATCGATAGAAGAAAATACCTTGTCGCTCTGAATAGAGATAAAATAAAATAATAAGC